AAACATTTAGTGAAAGAATGCCTTGCTGGCTTGTGATAAGACGGATTCTGATGAATTTAATAATTTTAGTGTTTCCAACATCTTAATACAAGACAAAATCTGTAGTTCAGTTCTGTTGTAGGGGAAGCAACTCTTCTGAAGAATCTATACAGCACGAGTATGTATTGGTTATACATTACGCTACAGATTTTAAGTTATAACCTCAGACATACCAAATTGAAATCCTCTGAAATATGTTATAGAATTGTGCTAATACCAATAATCCCTATTAGGCTGATCCAATTGATTACAGGGAGGTAACTCCAAGGTAAACATATCAACAAGGAATACACAACTTTCATACAACTTGTGTTTTTAGTACATTAAGGAGAACCATGTACATAAGGATTTTTGAGACCAATTATAGTTGGTACACATACAAGTTACACTTGGCGAGACATTATTCCAAGGATTTCAATCGTTAGTTCCTGAACTTGCCATTCTACATAAATACATATTCCATTGGACTCTGTTAAGCTCTTACCAGAATCTTATTTATCTCACTTAAAATCTCAGGGTTTTATAAAATATAAGTACAAAAAAATATTAACACACTACATAGTTTATACTATTGAATTAATGGGTACTTTGAATCGATTGTAATTTATTACGATGTTGTTAGGAGTATCAGATTGAATTTGTTTACAGTATATTTATATAAACCTAATCAAATTCAAGTATAATTATGTAAAATGTTATTACAGAGAGATAAAATGAGACAGTAAATAATATATATATATATATTTACATTAAGTACTTTTTTACCAATATGTATAATAACAGTTACCTCCCTTCCATAAATTTAGACTTCATATGCTAAAATTACACAATGAGGTTGACAAAATCTCAAAATTTCAACTAAAGATATTTAAATTCAAAGTCAAGTTCTACAAATGTCTGATTCCTTTCAATATAAAACATCTAAAAATTAAACAGAATTATCTTATAACAAGCCAAATGTAAAAATATATTTTACAAATTCTATCCTAAACAATGAAAATGAGTTTTCCATATAAACCCAATTATGTAATGTACATATACAGATGTATATACATTTTAAACTATAAATAACACTACTTTTCAATGTAAGTTGTATGGATATCTATTAGTAACATCAGAAGTGTGCGCTACCTGTTCTAATCTACCTCTCTAATCAGTCAAATTTATTAAAACCGTTAGTTTGTGGTTATTTATTCTGTACACATAATTCTATTACTTTACACAAGCTGAGCAGAAACACAAAGAAATGAGTAAAAGGAGAGATCTGCCAGTCAGCATTTGTAGGAAAAAGAACATTAACTTTTCTTAAACAGTCTATATATAGTTGAGCTCAAACTTAATAATCACACATATTTTCCTGATGGGATGGAGCTTCACGAGTTTGCAGTAGGAAAGAATTGGATTCCCTCTTAATTATATACCATCAACTACAAACTGGCAAAGAAATGAATTCTAAGCTTAATAATATTGAACTGAAGCCCAGTTTAAAGAATATATATTGATATAGGGATACAATTCTAAATAGATGTATGAATGAGACTACATGTACCTATGTGTTTAACAGGATGTAAGTTGAACATGGGACTTGTGATGTACCGGTATTACAGTGTTTGACTGAGACAAGTGTGTCGTAGAGCCTAATAACTGTGTGTCAATTACAAGGCCAAGAGGACAATGCAGTTGACAAAATCTAACCAGGGACAAGAATCCAGGAATCCAGTAATCAACTACATAATTTTCATATCTGCAATTTCAATTAAATAAATGGTAAATTAAAGACAAACATGCCTTACTGATCATAAAAAAAGACAAAAAAAAAAAGAAAGAATGAATTGAATACACTTGAAAAATTCAAATAGTAGTCTTTCTAACATATGATAAAATCTGAGGATATACAGTACAGTAACTGGCAATCCTTCATGTAATGTCTTTATATATCAGACACTGGATCAGTTTAAGATTCCTATAAGAAATATGGCAATACATAATTCATATGTCCAAAGTTGATCCTTTAAGACATGAAGTTGGCATCGACCTTCTTTAGGTTGTCTCCCCTCAATAGTATCTGGGTTTTTTTATTACCAGGAAAACATGCTATCCAGAAATGAAAGTGAATGTTTTAATTTATTTCAGTGATTTAAATGTATGTATCATATTAGACTTTACAAAAAGTTAATGTTTTTTAGAATTCTAAATGGTTAATATTACACCTTTATAAAACAATTACCATTTCTACATACATTTTTTTCACTTCCTAAATTGTTCCTACTTCTGATTAAATAGTTTATGTATTTGAATTCTCTGAACAACCCATCCGAGATATGTCACCTAAATACAGGGAAGGATGTTCATGCTACGTACATAATCACCTAGTTCCACTGGAAATAAAATCATCAGCAAACATTTCAATATTTAACAAATATTTTACCAAAAATAGCTATCAACTGTAAGCATATATGTACAAAAACAGATGTAAATTAAATAAAAAAAATACAACTTGAATTCAATTGGAATTACATTATTCCCAAAGATGAAAATTTGCTATATTCATGAATACTATACCCATTTACATCTTCACAATTATACACAACTATATAACATATAGAAACAAATACAAAATGAGAAATACCATCTATATATATACAAATACACAAATATATACTATGACAACAATCACTGCGGAAAATATGTGGTCCCCTTCATCCCAAAATGTATATGTAAAGTGATTTGCTACAGTACATTTAGAGAAACCAGTATATATTGAAGGTCAAGGCCCTGTGCAAGTATTCAAACATCTAGATATGTAAATAGCTTGATTTTACTTGTTAATTCTAAATTTCTGAAAACTTGCATAATAATTGGGTATCAAATACAGAGTTAATTTTGAACTATACATATAAAATATTAGCTGATCAATAAGTAATCAACTATATCATTATCAGTAGACAATATTTTGACCAATCAGATCAATGGATTAATCAAACTGATAATCAAACACCAGTTACTTAAAACAAAAAAGTACAATCACCCTGACCAGTGCTAGTTTGAGAGTATCATGGATAGACAGTATCAAACCATTCACACTGACAGTAACACAAAGATACAATGTTGTACTTCAATTTATACCCATGAAGTGTATCTAACTAGGAACTGTTGAACACCCACAATACATGTATTAGTAACTGCTACATACATTAATTTCTACTTTCGTTTTCCATATAATTGGCACATGACATTCTCACAAATCTGTGAAGTGGTTTTCATGGACTACATGACAGCAAATGTATGATTGAAGTTTAAATGGTGTTGATTTTCCTACATATATCCCAGACAGCTACACATTTACAGATTGGTAATGATAATTAACATCAATTCATAGCATAAATTAACATCAATTCATATCATTCACAATAGTCTACTTAATACGCCCATCAAAACAAAAAATGTCAATAATAAATTAGCTACTGGCTTAATTCTACATAGAACATTTTAGGTGAGAGACATATTTACAATAACAATTTCCAGATCAACTTAACTGATTCCTGGAGACCAGCTCCAATTATAGGTCAAACAAGTCGACTTTGCAATGGACTAACAACTGATTTGTCTCTTGTGCTAACATAGTTGCTCTGCTTCAAAGTATTGTTATCAAACAAGGTTCAGTCATAGGCATTCTATCTGTATATCTGTACTGCTTGTGAGTATTTTTGTTTCAATAAAGCTTGAATGCTTATCAATTTGAAGAAAGTTTCTTTCAGGTTAGCCTTTTTTATCAATCTATTTTGCTTCATTTTTAGCAAAATTTCCATGAATCTTTTGAACAAATTTAAGTAAAAGTTAAAAAAATGTAAAAAAAAAAATCAATATTTTCCTTACTTTTTCAAATGTTTTAAACAAGAATCTTTGGTCTATTGAATGTTTGGCAAGACTCCTGGTGTCTACTGAACCTCAATTCAGTCCAAGTAACTAGGAAATACTATTTTCAAAAATCAAAGAAAATATCTTGGCTGGATGAATCATTTGATTTGAAAATTAAGTTGTATCAGGACCTAATCCTGAACTCTACTTACTATAACAACTCACAATATTTGAATACTTTACACACATAATGTATATACCAACCCACTTACATTCAAGCTTCATAACATTTAAGGTAGAATTGAAATATCTATCTAAGTGCAAAATTACTCAGTTTTGGTTTTACCAAGGGAAATATAATTGAAGAATAATATCTCAATGAAAAATACCTATACTGATAAACATCAAAGAAAAAAAAACTTAAAACAAAAAAATTGAAAAACGTTTTTTTTCTCCCATTTCTGAGCAATAAGCTTTCGGAATGTAAGTTCTGCAATGTACACAAACATTCATATGGACAGTTTTTCATTAAATGTTTTTTTTCATTCTTTTCCTAAATAAAAAAAAAACAAAAAAAAAAAAAAAAAAAAGATACTGTAAATATAACTACCATCACTGACAACCACACAGGACTTTTGTGCATCCACAAACAGGCACTCGGAGCCCACTCTGACCACCGCAATTCTTTCTAATATGTACCTTCAATCTTATTACCATGTTCAAGGAACAAGGGATGAATTATCCCCAGACAGAGGAAACTCTTCATCTGAGGTCTAAAGAATATGTCATCCAGTGTTATTCTTATAAATAACAACTTTTATTTATCATGTCAATCAATGAAAAATTGACATTCTAATCTTTTTTATATCTTGGGAGTTTTTCCACTGTATGGCTACCAGGTCAATGACAGTGGGGTTGTGATGCTGATATCTACCAATGAAATACCCCAAGGTCACAGATGTGTATTTCTAATGGATGGATGATACTGAAGTAACATTTTTGCTCTGCAAAATAGAAAGCCGCTAACTGAATGCAGTTTTAACACAACATCTTGAGCAGCCTACTAAATGTAGGTTTTTCACCAAACCTACAGCATCTACTGAATATAGGTTTGACACATGACCTAATGCAGTCTACTGAATGTAGGTTTGACACCAATTCTACAGCATCTACTGAAAGTAGGTTTTACACTAGACCTACAACAGTCTAGTTAATGTAAGTTTAACACCAAACTTACAATATTTTACTGAATATTGATTTAACACCAGATCTACAGCTGTCTACTAAATGTTTGTTCAACACAAGACCTACAAATCTACTGAACATAATTTCAACATCAGACTTTGTAAACTGGTCTGACTTGTAATCCTGAAGAGAAACACATTGAGGATAAAACTAGAACAAGAGATCAGCACTGCTATTGTCTGTCCAGTTAAATGTATCATCATCAGCAATAGGTAGAATGTCAGTTTCCTCTGAATCCTCCACAGGGTCAGGGTCAGGGGAGGCAACTGGAGGTTCTTCAACCATAGACATCCCAAACTCAAAGTCTACAGACATCTTGGATTTGTAGCCACCAAAGGTACCTGTAAAAAAAACAATAATTCTAGAAAATTTCAGAAAATGGAACAACTGTTTCAATATTTTATATTGTGTACTTTTATCTTAAAAATTTCTGAATGACAGATTGTGAATATCTACTCATTGCTTCAGGGATTTTATGTTTTACTTGTTTAGTTTTTTTCAAATATGATCTACAACTGAATGTAGATTATCACAGGACACAACAAATGCATACAAAACAGAACTAACCAGAAGTTTATATCTACTAGTAATCTATATTATTAGGTACCCATTTTAAAGCAGATCATATCAAGTTTGACTGATATACAGTAACCATATATATTTCAGCAATAATCTTATCATAGTGACTTTTGAACTAAAAATATTGTACCAAAATATGATTGTGATAACTAGATTCTGTATGTTGTTACAATAATTAATGTCAATGCATGAATCGTATCCTGATTTGCTAAAAATCAATAATTCATTAAAATTTAATTGTGCCAAAATAAGTATGCTTTCAGTAATATCAGCCTAAAGCCAGTTATAGGTAAATTAGACTGGCATATACTCAGAGGATTGATTTTGTTGTGTGTCCTGTCCTCCTGGTGCTATATAATAAAATCGTCTAGACTATTCCCCAGTAATGCTGTTTTTTTGTCATTATTCAGCACTATAATTTGGTTGATCATCCTTATGGTTAAACATGACACATCAGGAGGTAAATGACCCAATGCTGGCCGACCACCTAACTAATAGTTACACACTTGCCCTTTTCTTGAAATGAACATTGTTTCCTTGTTGAAAAAAAAACTTGAGATATTGAGATTTGCCACTGAAGAAACTGATTCATTGTCTAGACATAGATAACATTTATCACTTGATAATGTGCAGCCCTCCCCCTTCCCTCCCCCACACCACCAACCTTTACGATCATTGTACTGTTGTTGATACCTGTTGATTAAACTTACAATATAACATTCCATCTCAATATTGAACAGAAATAAGACAATTCTGTTGCGGAGAGGTAAAAACTCCACATTTTATCTTTCTCATCATTATCTTACTCAACACATCATCTTTATCATACATGTACAAGAAGTGTGAAAATTCTGATCTTCTGTCAATGATTGTAAGTTACAATACAACAAGCCTTTTTGAAACAATGTTGGTTTCCTGGTAATAATGAACTCATTCTGTGCTTTGTACAAGAAAATAAAGCACAAGATCCACGGGGATCTTGGCATCCACCAGTTTTTAATCTTCATTTGTTCTTTAATATCTTTGGATATTTTCCTTTTTTCTCTTTTTTCCTTTGTTTTTTTATTGAAAATAATGTGAAATTTGAAAATTCCACTTAGATAATAGTGATAATGGGCTGTTCAAATTACTCTCCGTCCATAAAAGGAATTTAAAACATCAGTACGCTAAATGCTAAACGATGCTATACGGCCAGCTTTCATTCCTACTTTGGTATTTTTGTACAACTATAGTTTTCCATTGGATGGACCAATAATCAGTGAAAATGTGCCCAGAGAGAATTAACCTCAAAGATTTCTACACTCACCATGAAGACAGTAATGTACTCTATAAATCCCAGACATGATTAATTTGAAGTAACCTAAATCCCCCGGCCTACTCTATCACTCTGCCAGTCAACTGGAACCTAATACGTAAGGAAAACTTTCTAGGACACTTTATATAATACAGTGCAAACCAGCCTGGGAAAAACATTATGATCTGGATAAAACCAAACCCTAGTTTAGTGAGTAATATACCAAGTACATATTTGTTATAAAGACTGTGTCAGATAAAAAGGCAATAGGATGATATATTGTTTTCTTTTTCTTCGATTAGAATTTTTTTTATTTTTGAAATAAAATAGAACAAGTAAAAACCAGATGGACCTCGGCACCCAACCTTAGTTTGTTCTTTATTTGTTCTATAAAAATAGGATATTCTCCTTTTTAACTCTATTTTTTTCTTCTTATCTGCTCTTGATTTTGTGAAATTTTTATTAAGAAATATTGATGATAAACTTTAATTCATGATAGTTGCCATTTTTTTTCTTTGAATCAGTCACAAAATCAGAAGGGCACATCTTGTGACTAGGGGTGGGGTGGGGGGGGGGGGGAGGTGAGAGACCTACATAAGGAATCTCACAAAGGTCATTCACAAACTTGAAGACCCATTCAAAATCTGTTAAGAAATAAAAATAGAAAAAAGAAAAACTTTCACATTCAAAATCCGAGTCATTTACTTTCTCCTAATAAGGAATCTCACAAAGATTTTATTCATACAGTACTTTCCCAGAAACAATGATTACAAGAGTTGTTTAAAGACCAATAACTGACCATAAGATGCAGGTGATTACCTATCAGATGATGGTGGGTTAAAAAATGTCCCTTTCATGGTTCATGCCTGGCAGGATTTATCTACTATATAGCAGGGTATAAGGAAATTCTACACACAGAGCAAGAGGAATTCCAGGTGCAGGAACAAACATTTTCCTTGTGTAAGAAATTTTGAAAGTACATAGTACATCGGGAATTCAAAGCAGGTGAAAAGCACTTCCGTGCGTGAAGAATAAGGAAGTTTTTTGTGATTCACAGGAATTTCAACAGCAGATCAACAAATTTCATGGAAAGGAAAATTTTGAGAGATGACCATCCGCTATGTGACGAACTGTGTTGATGATATATACATTTTCATCAAGCTTTAGGCAAAACCTCAAAAATTTTAACCACCAAAAAAATTCTTTGTAGTTGTAACACAGTGTGTTTGTGAAAGGTTGATGCTTTACCTGCTCCTGACAGTGGTGTATTGCTACGTATAGAGCTGTCACCCGGGCCTCCACTGCGAGGAGTTTCTGCCACATCATCAGATGACTCATCTGCATATTCAAAGTCTTCTAATTTGATGACTGGTTTTTCCTCTTCTGCCTCTTTCTTAACTTCTTCCTCCTCCTTTGGGTGAATGACCAGGTAGTCATGCAACGCTGCATTCTCAGACTGGTACTCATGTGTTGCAGTGGCTTGATCATTGAACGAAATTTTTAACTGCAAAGACAGAATAGAGTTCAAGGTCAAAATAAGACAAGAATTTAAAACAGCTTTCATTTGACTTATCCAATCCTATTACATTGCTCATGTGTATATAAAATCATTTTAAACATCACTGTGTTGCAGTCCTTAATCAATTAATAAATGCACACATTTAATTTTATGTTACACTTTTGAAAATTAGAGGTTTGCATAAGGGTTAATGATGTCGTAAACACATAAATCACTTCAGTGCTACATTCAATTTGTATGTCTATCATGTAGAGGACATCACCACAGAAGGTTTCTGCTTTGTATCATCCCTCTGTGGAGTGTTAATAGAATAAAAGTCACTCTATAACGTCCCTCATCCAAATGTGTACCGTCATAGTACAGAAGTCTGTGGCTGTGTCAGGATAATATCAAGAATGTAATTATACATCTTAGTAATCAAACTATAAACTTACAGCTATCTGTACAAATTCACATCCGAAGTCAATTACGACTCATTACAAATAGTCAGTATAATCTTCTAAGTTATTTCTATCCCTTGAATTCTGTCATCAAACAGATTTTAAATGCTCTTTACTTAAGTTTTAACTAATTCTCCTTTCAATCATTCTATTAATAAGCATTGATTTAATTGGGTAAAGGTGACAATATGGTATATCACCTTAGTGGACACTTTGGCCCTGACCATTGGTATTAACACAATCACAGGTGTCCTTGGGACCTAGAAATGACCACTGACAATAGATTAGCATTGTCTTGCACCAATGATCTGTACATCTAGAACATTAGCTGACATTTTTCCGAAGGGCAATATAAAACAGGCATTACAGTGACAGTTTTCTACGGAGTGTAGCCAACAGCTGAATTTAATCACTTGTCCATATGGTCAGAGGCCTGGTCTTAATGGACTGTGGACCTGTTAAAGTTATACTGATTAGTGTACATGATCTGTTATCATCACACTACAGTGGTGCACTCTATACATATGTATAGGACACACCTACATGAATCATACTGTACACACTAAAATAACTATAGCTTAAGGCAGTACTTGTATGTAATTTCCTTCATTGAATTTCATTTTATTCATAGCAGATATCCCTTTATCTACAATATAATGGCTACAGTGTACAAATTCAATAAAACACATCGACTTAAGTCATTACAGTTTAACCTCTTAGTAAGAACCAAATTCTACCACCATATCAGTTATATCTGTCTAAATAACATCTATTATAATTATGATAGTAAGTAAGATAATCACTGTTGGGATTCAAATCTTTTCTCTCCCGAATTCATCACTTCTACTGATTGAAGAGTTGGGGTTGTTATCGTCTGAAAAAAATTCCCAGTTATCGTGCCAACACTGGAATTTCAAATCGTGCAACAATTTTTTGTCATGTTCATGTTTATGTCTGGTGTAGACAGATTTCTGTATAGTGTTGATATCTCGGACTATACAATATTTATATTTACTGTAATAAGGCCAGCAGGCCAACACTTTACTTCCACTCAAAGTATGGGCCAACATTACAGCACAATAAAAATACTCTACTGAACAGTGATTGATAAGGATAGACTGATTACCAGACATGGGCTTATTGTTTGATAAATACCAGAATGGTAGGTGTTAAACTCTTATGTTTAACAAGTTTATTTTCCCCATTTCATTGTTGTGATGTTTATGTTAATGTTTGGTCTAGGTTGCCAGTTTCAATGTTTAGATAGCTGTTGGGATCCTCACTGACATGGAATCATTTGCTTCAGCAATACAAATGAATTAGGTAAATGATCACTAGGCAGACACTTGACTGTCTTCAATGTTTATGTATATAAAGAAACATGGATAAATTCTGCATAAATCTGCACAATATATATATCGTCTCCATGTATATTAACGTCAACATATATTTATGATATTTACATATATCAGCTTTAAAGATGTATCAATGATTTCTTTACCTGACTTCATTGACTTTTTTAAATGAATATCCTCAATTGAACAATTTTCAATGCAGACATATTATGTAATACCACAATCCTCAAGATGTTCACATGTACAAACCGGTCATAAATCAGGAATCTGACATTAGTAACAAATCAAATAGAAGTCAATTTTAAATTTACGTATCTTCAGCATTAAGCACCCAATAAAGACCAACTGTAGTCACCTTTAATGTGTACAATACTGTGTTCATACTGCAATAAACCTAGGGGACAATCAGGTCTTAATAAAAGTCTTGGGGAAGCCTGGGAAAGGGGCAACATATACTTCTTACTTAAAGTCAAAGTCAGGGAGGGGGGCAACATATACTTCTTACTTAAAGTCAAAGCCTGGGAGAGGGGTTAAGCCTGGGAGAGGGGCAAAGCTCGAGAGAAGGGCAACATATACTTCTTACTTAAAGTCAAAGTCAGGGAGAAGCCTCAAAGTCATGGGGAATCAAAGGGGCTATCAGTTCTTATTCAAAGTCAGGTGGGAAGCCTAAGGCAACATATACTTCTTACTTAAAGACTGAGGGGAACCCTAGGAAGCTTTCAGATGGGGAGAGGGGTGGGGCTGGTGGTGGGGGATGAGAGGGAATCATAGGGGCCTTCAGTTCTTACTCAAAGTCAGGGGGATCCTAGGGGCTGACATATACTTCTGTACTAAAAGTCAGAGGGTAGTCCTTGGAGCCAATGCAAAACTTTTACCTCAAAATTAGGAGGTGGGTTTATCATAGGACAATGAAAAAGCTTTACTTTACAATTGTACAAATTAGCTTTTTTATATACAATTATAATAATAGCTTATTTCCAGGTATTGGGCCATGGCATTGGTTCCATATAATTCAGAAGTTTTCTTTCATGGCAAATCAAACCAAGACCTCCATACCTGATTTCACAAGAGTTTAAATGAGGAACTTATATATCTTACTATCTTACCAAGTTTGTCAATCTTAAGCTCAAATATCACGGAAAGATACTTATGTGGTAAAAACACATTTGCTCAAGTAATATATCATTTGTTTAAGGCTCCGTTGTAGGGTTTGAGAGTTGTTTAAGGCCCTATTGTAGGGTCTGAAAAAATATCTAAAAATTTGAAATTCCAGGAAGTGAAATTGACCAATCAACAATTCTGTTTACAGCAAAATCATATTCATCCAGCGATAAGCCCTTGCATGTTAACAAAACCACCCTTATATAGTGCTGTACAAATTAGTGATTTGTTAGCTGGGCTAACTGAAGGATAGATACGGTATATACATGGAAATTGAGTATCCTGGGGAAGTTAATACAACATGTGATCATGCAATTTTTAAATTATTTAAGGCATAATGTATTTTCTGAGCCTTCGTTGTGATACCCAGAAACCAATGGCACACATAAAGAAGTTTGAACATAACAATGAGACAGGGAACGCCCCCATCTGAGCCTGGTGCATAGAATTATGTAAATGTATGATCATCTACTAAAGGTGTCTTTACATTAGGACATCGTGATAAAGATAGAATAAGAATATTGCGTACTAACTATTTAGTTAAAAATAATCCAATTCATTAACCCTGGAAATAATAAACTACAGCTGATCTCTACCTATATATCTTAACATGGACCGCCAGATTACTCATCTCTCAGTGTGAATAAATTAAATCTTTATGCTAAATCATTATGCAAACAGCGTAATGTTTTTTACCTTTTTTTTAAGTTTTCCTGTTTCAAATTTACAAATCATTGATCTAACATGATTTCTGCATGGGACAACTCGTTCATCTACAAACAAATGAAGTGTCTTGGGTTGCCCTACAACCTGCCGGCCTGAGTTAGACTGCCAGATAAGGCGACACTCTCCTCTTCTTGTAGTACTCAAAAACTCCGTCATAATTTTCACATTCACATACATCCATGCTAACAAACAAAACTTCCTGCGGGATCTAAATCATTTGATGCCAACACCAGATATAAAGTGATTTAATATTACATTTTTAACTGCTAACGTATCTGAAGGCTCTGTTTTTTTTGTTTTTTTTTTAATATTACGAATGCTAATGTTCGATCTCTGTCTACAACAAAGTTACATGACTGTATTGTTTCAAACTACAGTGCGCAGAACATTAGAAATGTTTGTTAATTTCCTTACAGCTATACACTTGACCTTGACAAAGGTCTCCTGCAGTGTACTGCAAACTTTAGATATGTATGTTTGAACACCGGAAGGAGCCAGCAGGAAATCTTAATTACACAGAAACATCACATGTCTCAGAATCCACATCTCATAGAACAGCAAGTATGTACTCCAATATGTCCTGATCTTCTTAAGAACAAAAATATCCTCATTGTCTCTTTGACTGAAATCCCATCAACAGACAAAATCTTTTGATGATTCACTTTAAATTATCATGATGATCTGCTTATATCTTTATGATGTCTAAACAGTTCACATATATATAGACTACATCATATCCAAAACTGCAAAAGTTAGCTAGTTAGTTTCCCTGCTTGGATGACAAGTGCAGTTTTGGCGGGGGCTAAAGCTATTTACCCTGGGTCACAGAACCACCTGACTTCCGTAATGAGTGGGTATCTATGTTCGGTCCCACCACCCCTGGTATGACTGATTATACAGGCCGGTGATGAAACAGACAGCCTGTCATTGCTAAAAGCGATCCTTTACAGGTAGTTTATATCAATACTTCTGTTTTACATGTCTCAATGTGAAAATCTGAACTGAATCACAACTGTCACACACTCCTTATCTAAAAACTTTTGAAAATAAACATAAATTCTGAATTCATCAGCTATTATAAAAAAACAAAGGTTAAAAGCAAAATTATGAAACTCAGAAAATTCCTACAATTCAAGTTAGAGATATTTTGCAAGGTTCCTTAACTTTAGCTTATATACTCACCTGAAGTTCAGTGGTCATGAAGTCCTCGTATATAAGTTTTCAAACATCATTTCCCTAATTTTCAGGTCCTAATTGATAAGTAAAAGATCCAAGCTTCTCACATTCTTATGGTCAAATCCAA